TCCTTGATTTTCCATAATATTTTCTAATAGTATTACTGCTGTTAGTAATGTCAGTAACAATATAGTAATTATAATGTTTATAACAAAAATAACAGTGTCATTATTGATAGCATTAGCAAAAAATATATATTTTTCAGCTCTTTCAAGGAAAAGTGAGGTCACAAGAATACTAATTGACTCCTTGGTGGCTAAGCATTGGCAGAGCCATCTATGTGCAGAAACATTTAACCAGGCATCGCTAAAGGGAACACACTGTTTTCCCATTGACATTGGGTTAATTATCTGTTGCAGATAATTTTGAATAAAATAGATAAATAAATAAATAGCTCCCGTGTTTTGACTACAGTCTTTATGTAGATTAACTTAACATCTAAAACTATAACGTCACACAGTGTATGAAGGCATTTAAGATATTTCAGATGCAGAGGACTTTGATATTGATATAGATAAACTGTTTGGAACAATGTTGCTTACAACTCCAACTACAATACTTCTAATATTTATGTATTGATATGCTTTGTTGATATTTTGATTATTCCTGAAACTTATTTCAATGATTAATAGAGGCCAAAGGAAAAATAGTTGTTAAACCTTAGGCCTTGTGAATACTGGCATGAGCTTTAGTCATTACACTGAGTGGACAGTCATGAAAGGAAAAATTATGAGTGTATGGGTGATGTGGAATTTCAAAAACGAAAGGTCTAGAACTTCTGTTATCATTATGGAAAGTACTGGTGATTCGAAGGTTACAATCTCAGTGCCAAGTGTGGGATCCAAATCTTATAAAATTTATATTGAAACTAGAAGCATTTCAGTGTTCAATTAAAAATTAGGCCGTATTGTAGTGCATGATTATTGGGAAATACTAAATGGCAGGCTGTTCTATTTACATTCATGGAGGGAAAGATCCTTTATTATGTATGCATGGAAGGTCACTTACCAAGAGAGTTAGAAGTGGAAATTAGTATAAGACATTCACCCAAACAGGGAAGAACATGCTATCACAGTTATTAAGGACAATACAGAATCAGTAGTAACAGCTCATTGGTTTGTCCCCAAGATGGGGCTGGCATAAGCAGCAAGCAGGACTCATTCTAGAACTACACTGAGTAAGTAACCAATTAAGTAAAAGAAGAGAATAGTTGAAAATAATTTGGGAATAATGTGTATTATCCCTCCAAAGGTGATTGGATGGCGGGATCTTCCATCGGCTGGTGATGAGGTGTTGGAAGTGGAGTCAGAGCACAGGGTCTCAGAGGTTATGCATTGGAGAAATGATATGGCAGCAAAAGAGAAGGAAAAGGAGGAGCTAATCGCCATACAGGAAAAACTTGATGAACATCTGAAGGTGTACCGTGCTCAGCTTGAAGAGAGACGTAGATTGGGTATCAGGTACTCTTAAAAATAAAGAAGCCATTTTAGCACGCAGAGAAAATATCTTTGCTTTATATATTGATGTACTAGTTATCTGGAAATACTTTTTACTGAAGTCTAAAGTCTTCATTATAAGTGCATTTTCAGATATAAAATGCGTCGCAAGGAGCCCAGAGAGAAAGAAATCAGAGAAGTAGCCACTGGACCCAAAGTATCAATTGTACTAAAAGGGGATGTAGATGGGTCTATAGAAGCCATTTTGGATGTTTTAGACACTTATCACAGTGAAGAATGTGACCTTGATATCATAAGTTATGGGGTTGGTATGGTCACCCCAAATGACATCACAATGGCAGCAACATTCTCAGGTACCAGTATAATTAGGAGTGTAACTTTTTACTGACCCTTCACAGTCATTTTCATGTGTTGTATAAATGATTATAATGGTTATAGCACACTGTCATTATCCTCATGAATTATTTTGCTCAGTGGATTTATGTTGAGTGTTGATATATTTTCATTATTTTGTTTGAATTATGAAATCTAATTCTTGCAGCTCTTAGTATGATTGCTCCAAAATATAGTATAAATCTTGATAGAAGAAGTAGAGTAGAGATGTGTTTGCTGGTTTTGATTATATCTTTGTAAGAAACACAAGCATCACCATAATCTTTTTTCAGTGTGTTTGTAAATGTGTCATCCCATAATGATGAGTTGATCAGTTTACTTACAGCCCATTTTCAACAGGTTCCATATATGCCTTCAACACCACAGTACCTCCAGAGATAAGAAAAATGGCCACAGAAAAGAGGGTCATCATTAAAGAGACCAATATTATATACCGACTGGTGGAAGACCTAAAGGAGGAGCTATCAGAACAGCTTCCTTTGAAAGATGTGGAGGAGGTTCTTGGTGTGTCTCTTCGTATCTTTTTCATAATCATCTACGTGATTTTTTTGTAATATTTTTGTTTCTTTAAGTATTTGAACATTAAGGGATAAATGAAGAGTATACACTAACGGCTGGTTTGTTAAAATTGTGCGAGGCCCGACCCAAGGAATATGCATATATACAGACATCCATGTACATAGAAATAAATATATATCTGTCTATCTATCAGATATGTATACACTCATCTGCCTATCTTTATGGTAGATATGCATCTCTAGACTGATAGATATGCATCCATTTCATTGGGTCAGGCCTCACATAATTTTAACAAACAGACCATAAGTCAGTTGATTGTTACTTCAGAGTATTTTTGTACTGAATGTATTATTAAATTAGTGTTGTAAATTTTTCTCAGCATTTTTACTCCCAGAACACATTTTATCTATGAATCAGTTTCAAAAAAATGCATTTAACAGTAATCTAATAATTTTCATTAAAGGTGAAGCCAATCTTCTAGCCGAGTTTGTTGTGACGGAAGGCAAAAAGAAGATTCCTGTGGCAGGATGTCGGTGTGTCAAAGGAACACTGAAGAAGGACGCACTTTACCGTGTGATTCGGGGGCAAGATATCATCCATGAAGGTAAGGAATGTTTTTGCAAACATTTACAGACCTTTTGTAATAATAATGATAATGATAATAATTTTCCTACAGTATTTTGATTTGTTTGTTTTTTAACCCAATGCCACAGGGAAAATGTTGTGTTCACTTAGTGTTGTGTTAAATGTTTCTGGACATAGATGGCTCTGCCAGGGCTTAGCCACAAAGGAGTCAATTAGTAGATCTTGTGACCTCACCTTTCCTTGAGTTGTCAGGAAAAATGCTTGTTTTATAAGTATCAGTAATGATACTGTTATTTTTATCATAAACATTGTAATTACTATATTGTTGTTGGTATTCCTAACAGTAGTATCAAATACTAGAAAATATTGAAAATCAACTGGCTTATGGATGACTTAGTACTTGTGGAGCCATCTTTATGTAAAAACAATTACTAAATTAAACACACTGGGCATGGTATGCATGCACATGCCATTTCCGTCAGCATGTAGTTAAGTATCGCATAATGTATAACTTATTACAGGTCCTTTGGTTTCCATGCGCCACCACAAGTCTGAAGTTGAAACTGTAAACAGGGACAAGGAGTGTGGACTAATGTTTGAGGATGAGACACTGAGGTTTGAGCCTGGAGATCAGATTATTTGTTACAAGATCAATAAAGTGAAACAAACCACTGATTGGGATCCTGGGTTTTGAGTGCAAACAGTTTTGTTGTAAATAGTTTGTTGATAATTTGTATAGAAATGAGGAAAATAAACTGTTACAAACCACTTCATAAAAAAAAGTTATTTTCTTCCTCCTTTATGTAATTACAACTTCTTAAAATAGCTTGATGATATATTTTCATTATGTTGGTGAGATAATGAAGGACTGCTAAAATGTATCTACAAGTAACATTTCATTGCCTTTGTTATACCTTATAAAACATATCCTACTTTGGTATGTGTTTAGTTTTGAGCAATTGTTATGAAATATGTACTATATTTAACATACACAGCTCAGATGGTGAAAAAATTTATATCAGAAATATTAAATTCAAGACCTGTATAGTGATGGAGGAAAGCCTATTATCACTTGACTTGAGATTTATGTCATGGCTAACTTGATCATAGCTCCGGGTCACGGCCAACTTGGGCACTGCTCCAGGCAATTTATTATGATAATGTGTGCATTACATCTTATAATGTTCTTTATAAGGAACCCTCTTGCCAATGCTACATGCCCTAAAACTTCACTCTTGTTTAAAAGATCAGTCTCCTGGTTTGTACCACTCAATGTCTTTTGATGCACACATAAGGGAAGTACTGAGGCCATGGTGATGGCAACCTTACATATCTCTGCATACAATCTCTTATTTTGTAAAAATCAGATTTTTTTTTTTTTTTTCTTTCTTTCTTTCTTTTCTTTTCTTTTCTTTTTTCCTATCCCTCAATAAAACCACTTTCCATCTTGTACACTGAGTGTAACATGTCTTTTTTATTGGAATACACTCTAATATATATAATCAAGCAACTGTAGCTTTCTTTTAGCAACTAAAATGCATATTATGCATTTTTGAATATGCAAAAATATTACAATCATGTTTTGGATATAAGCGATAAAAAAAAAAAAAAAAAAAAAAAAAAATCATATCACCTTGATGATATATATAGTAGGTATATATATATATATATATATATATATATATATATATATATATATATATATATATATATATATAGTATGATATATATATATGATATATAGTAGGGCAAGCCACATCAGCCACATTTGAAATAGGCAACGTGCGAACAATTTTGAGAAATTGTTACATGCTGGGAATTTCTGCAATACTTGGGAATGCAGGTAGATGATAGAGTTATAAGATTTTGTTAATATCAAGATAAACATGATTTTTTTTTTTTTTTTTTTTTTTTTTTTTGCAATAATTAAAAAACTGTTGGGCATTAAAACAAATATATATATATATATATATATATATATATATATATATATATATATATATATATATATATATATATATATATATATCCTTAGGGATCTCACTAAGGTCTAAATAAAAGGGTGTAAGTTTCATCAAAATAAGCAAGAAAAATTGGGGAGAAAAAAAAAATGGTCTCTTAAAAGTTTTATTGAAACTTATTGACACTAGTGCCTAATACATTTTATACTTTACATTTATTGGCCATTTTCATAATCACCATCTGTAAGTTCTATGCAATAAATATCTTAAAGTGATTTTAATTTGGTAACACTGTGTGTGTGCATAATCACACAGGTGCATAATAACATGCACTTTTCCATATGTATTTATAAAACAAAAAACTAAAATTGGATAGGAATTAAACAAATTATATGTAATACAATTATGAAATGCTATTTTCATTATCTCAAATATAGTTAGTTGAAACACTCAACTAGTAATGTATTCACTCACTATGTATATGTAAGAGTAATACATTAACATAATTTGTAAAATAATACAAAATCTTTTGGCACTTCGCTATCCAGTATTTTTTACAGAATTTGTACAAAAATATAATCCAAATAAAATTATTCCCATGTACATAATATGAGCACCAAATATACACAATGCTAAAATAACACTCTGACATTAACACTTTCACATCAATAAATATATAGCACATTACTCTGGAGCCCTATCTAGGTTTCATCATTGCGTCTCCCCAAGCCAAGAGCAAAAGTCTTGTGAGGGCATATTTTAACTCTTGCAATTCACATCCTGTGAAGGAATAAATAATTTTAATAATACATATATTTACATCTTGTTTTTCATATCTTGACAAGAATAATAGAATATCAAGAAATAAAGATAAAATGAAATATACTTACCAAGAATGGTATTATCAGCTGATGTTGCATCTTCAGAGAAAATTTCATTCAGTTTACCTGCGGGATTTACAAAAAGGATTGTCAAGAGATAAATTCCAACTAACACCAAAGCCATATGAAACAATACCAGTCATCAATCTTATTAAATATGCATTTATTCATGATATTTTTCCCCACATCACTGACATAAACTGACAACTTACCAAGAGAAACTGTTACAATATCAAGTAACTGTCTTGGAACTTTTTCCACCTGTCCTTCTTTCCCACCTTCAGATTCTTTACTAATGAGTGCTGTTACAGCTGGCAAGAGATGACTTTGTATCCAAGGTTGTCCCTGCCAGCGTGCTAATATCATAATGCTGGTCAGCAGGTTACAGGATACTGCTATCTCTGTTGATTCTATGAAGAAAGCAATTCGTCTTTAGGGAAAATATCAATGATGATAAACTTCAAATAGTATGAAGAATAAGTTGCTTTTGTAATCTTCCCTCAGAATGTAAACAATACAAAAATAAAAATAAGTAAAGATTACAAATATTATTGAAAAGAATAAAATTCAGTAAATATGAACAGCAGTAAAGAAAGAGTAAAGGAATTAACCTTTGACAGCCTTTTAAATTAACAAAATATTAATTTTATAAAAAGTACATTACATCACTTAAAGTGAGAAAGAGAGTGGGAGCAAAAACTGCAGTAAATATAAACAAGACTCAAGAAAGTCGCACTTTTATTATTATATTTAAAAACCTGTATCATGTATTAAATGGTACTACTTTATGAAAGTAATTTACATCTACTTAACATTCATAATAACTAACACCCTTGCATTCTGTTTCTGAAAAGCAATTTGAATTATGCACAAAACAACTTAACTCACCCAAAAGTTTTGAAAGAAGATCCTTCACAAGGACTGCAAGATCACTAGATGGAGGGTTATGCACACCTATCTGATTAGTCAGGTACTTGGTCAGCTGAGTGCGGACACTTTCTGTTCCCATCCAAATTCCGTGAAAGGCAACCCACTGTAGCACCTTTTCAATCCCACTTGCCTCTGTCAGGTCGGGAAAAGAAATTAAATTCATTTACAAAATATGGCAAGGCATTTTTCATCACTTCCCTTATAATATCCCATTTTTTTAAAATTCTCACACGCACATGCACACGCACGTACACACACACTCAAACAAAGTATGCAATTTATTTGTACCTCTATGGTTAACCATTCGGATGAGAAACTTCTGTCCTGAGTTGAGTGCCGACAACAGTGCCAAGTGAACTGTTCCTGGATGATGAAACAGGAGATCTACCAAAAATGCACGACCTAGCTGCAAGATCTCCTTATCTTCTCTTTTGCTCACTGATAAATTGGCAACATACCATGCTGCCAGAGAGCCTAAACTATGAGGCTGTGTACAGAAATAAAAAGTAATAGTCAAATTTTTGCTTTCATTACACTTCCTCAGAAATTATCATGGCAATCAAGAAGAAACTAAATTTGCTTTTATAACTTTAGCAGTAATTATTATTCCACAAATTTTATGAACTAGAACCATTTTTCTTTGTTGCTTCTGCCATGTAGCAGAATATAAAATAAACAAATCTTTGATCAGAAGGCAAAAATATTATCTGCAGTTGAATCCAAACTTGGGGATAAATAATTTAGACTGAAAAAAATAATATTTTACTTTCATTTCCTAAGGAGGCTGAGACATCTCCATATCATCCA